CCTTCAACTTTCAAATTAATGCACTGCTGCAAAACCAAAAGAACAACAATACTAGCAAAGATTTTACTACCTTTATAAAAACATGAAAGGAAAGGAGCACTTCTAGCATCGTGTTTTCGCGCAGATTCGTCAGTCAAATGCACAAAGAATTTCATTGCATTGCACGAGAAAACGTCGAGAGGAAGACTAGCAAAACAACACTAGTAGTCAAAAAAAAAGATACTGAGTGCGGTATGTATGGGTTAGAAGGGTTCAGTAAGCAGGCAAAGCGATACAAATCAAAAAAAGTAGTCATAACAGTAATTTCTTCCAAAAAAAATTTTGTGAAATTGTTTAAAATTTAGTAAATTTTAACTAAGTGTCTGTTACTGAAATGGTAGAGTTGAAAAATTTTACAAGAATTACATATACTACAAAAACAAATAAAATTCTACTGGAAACAGAGGTTCTGAGGTTTGCGAAAGCGCCAAAATTGCTGCTTCAATTAAGGGTTTTTTCAGTCTGCTATCACTAATCTTAATACTAGCAAAGATTTTACTACCTTCATAAAAACATGAAAGGAAAGGAGCACTTCCAGCATCGTATCTCTTGAGTCCGTAAAGATACTACTTTGTGATTTTTACGTTTTGTTTAAAAATTATTGCTTCACAAAATATGTTTTTTTTTTAAAAATTAAAAAATCGTTTTTTGAGGAAAACCGTTTTGAATTCTTCTTTTTATTTTAATCTAAAATAAAATTTGCAAATTTAAACATTTCACTATTTTTCTGAATCTGCAGGAGGTATCTTTTCAAATGAAGCAAAAATGAGAAAAATCCGTTGTGAATTGCGAGACATATAAGTTGTTAAAGGTGACCATGTCAAGGGTAAAATGCGTTTTTTTTTCGCACTTTAGAACGGTCTAACTTTGCCGCCAGCGCACTTCTTGAGGTAAACTCTTTCGATTTTGAAATCTGTCAACAAGTGCTACAAGTTGGCAAAAAATGAAAAAAAATCTGAGAGGTCGAGGTTCAAAGTTGTGCGATTTGGCGTGGAATGGCTTATATATATATATTTATCTATTTATTTACATTTTTATGCAGCCTTCTTTTCATATAGCGATCTACGCAAATTTTGACGGTTTTAAGACGTTTGCTGTAATTCTCTGGATATGTGCGATTTTGATTGGTATTGGTTGTGTTTATGGTTTATTCGACTACTTAAAAGGCGATGACCTGAGTACAGCAGCTAGTTCGAGCTACTATAATTGGTCTCGAATTGGATGGTGTGTAGCCTTAGCCTGGGTTGTTATTGCATGCGAGTACAATCTGGCTGGTATGTAATCAAAGTGCTAAATGTCGATTAAGTTGTGTAACTGGATTTTTTGTTAACCAATCGTTCAACTACAGAAAATAAAAAGACGTAACAGCAAATTTTTCACTGTTTTAGGACCAATAAAGGTGTTTATGGAACAAGGATTCTGGGCACCGTTGAGTAGGCTGACCTACTGTGCTTACTTAACACACTTTATTCTAATCTCTGTTATATATTCGTTATCACGGCAGCCGCTGCATTTCGTCAGTACAATAGAAATTGTGAGTACTTCAATTTTTAAATTTTTTCAATTTTTATCTCTAGAACTTATATACCATGGTTAAATTGTTGTTACTCGTTTCAAAATAAACTTTCTGTTCTCTGTCGTTTCTCAGAAGTTTCAAAACGCTTTTAAAGAGATGAGAAGTAGAAAAATTGTTTTGTTTTTTTGTGAGTCTTTCTGAATGCAAAAACTTTGTAAAACTTAAAAATTTTAGGTTAGACTAATTATCCATGTTTTTAAAGAGTGTATAAAACTTTTTATAAATTATGTGATTGCAGTATATTGTCGGCGCTATACCAGTTTTTGTGGTTAGTTATGTCGTTTCGTTCGTTTGGAGCTGTGCATATGAAATGCCCACTATGAAACTAGAAAAAATGTTTGTAGCTGCTGTATTCAGTCCACCTCCACGGCATCGGGAGGCACCAACTAATAAAGTAACTAACGAAAAAGATGCAGTTCCACGCCAAGCTTGGACAGGAAATAATGAAAAAGCGAATATCACAGAAATAGCAGTCGGTAAAGAGAAGGAAATTAATGGTGATCTGGAAAAAAATCAAGTCAGGTTACGACAATCAGCGTTGCCGGCAAGACCACTAGAATCAGTTGAGCAACAACCTGTAAAAATACCAAACCATAATTTTGGAAATGACGAGGATGACGAGAATGTTAGCGCCAAACTTTAAAAATTTTGATATTGATAAGTGTATTGTATTATAAAAGTTATCGGAGTACTTTTATGTAAATAAAAATGACTTCAAAATGTACTGCGCTATTCGTCAGCTATCTTTTCTTATCTTCCTTTTTAAAGTATGTCTTATACTAATATCGAAAAAGTACACAGCTTTACTTATTCTTTGAGGAGTAAAAAAAATGTTCTTTAACTCTTTAAAAACTTCACATTAGCTCTGAATCTCTATGACTTTTCAGTTGCGAAATGCGTTTTCACTACCACGGTAAACTGTCTAAAAAAGTTTCGAATAGAAAGTGGTCAGCAATGTTTTTTGTTCACTACAACATACAATATTATCAAACTGCAGCAAAAACTACTTCGTTAATCGTTGAAATTTTCACTGCATAAAGTGAAAATTTGAAAAATTTATTTTTAAATTTAAAAAAATTTTAAACCTATCCCAAAGTTTTCTCAAAAAATAGATTGCCATACCAGATTCATTTTCTTGATGGGTTATCAGTGATTAACCTGTAAAAAATTCTATAGTTTCTTAATTTTTTCTATTTTTTAAGAGGTTCATATTTTAAGCTTTTCTCTCCAGGATTAAAATCTGACTTCTCTTCAGCGTTACTCAGAAAAAACCAAGTATATTTGGTCTTTTAAGTCTTTGTTAAAAAAATTGCTAAGGCTAAATTCAAATTTTTATTAGTTGCTTCAGTACTTATGCACAAAACTTTGCCACTGGAAATTTTGCCACTGGAATCGATTGCCAACTTTGCCACTGGAATCGATTGCCACTGGAAATTTTACCGTTGCCTTTGTAAACTATAGTCTTTTTTTTTTTTTTTTTTTTTTTTTGTTGTTGTTGTCGCTGATAAACTGTTTCTGGCGTACTGCGGCAAAAAGTGTATTAAGAAAAACTCGATAACTGACTCAAGAGGAAATTCTAAGCCCATACCAGGATCTTCCTAATTTTCTGAAATATTGAGATGTTAGTAATCGAATGGTTAAGGAAGACTACCTTACAAACACCAGTCATTGGCTTCGTTACCTCAAACCGTTTAGCATTAACTTGGCCAAAAGGTTTATTAGTCATCTCTCTAAACCCATTCTTAGAGACTTTTTCAAAACATTGTAATTTTTCTTACTGTTATTATTTGAACAGGATGAAAGAGGAGGTTTGTAACAAGATTGATAATAAATATTTCTACTGTAGATAAACTAATAGGTACTAACAAGAATAAAAAGAGAAACAGACAAATAAATTTTGCTTAAGGTTTACAACAAACACAGGGCAAAGACTATTTTGTACCGACTATTTTGCCAAGAAGTATATTCTACTATAAATTTCTAGACTTTACCTTTCTTTGTACACTGTACACAAATTTTTTAATCAATTTCTTATTTATTTTACAGTTTTACAGACGTCTTAATTGATATTTTAAATTGCATTGCGAAGCCAGAATTGATAATCTTTGGTTGACCTCGCAATAAGATAATCTTTCGGAGCAGTCAGAAAAATCTAGCGCACTCATATCAAAGATTGCTTTCGAATATGTATCGTTGCCTATCTGCAGCGATTACCCTTACGGGAATACTCTAGAACATGTACAGGAAGTCGTATTTGTCAGCCAGATCTGGGTAAGATTAGAGTTTGATTATGCAAACTAACAAGCTTAACATTTGAGCTTAGTATCAAATCATAATCAGATGTTCAAGTTTGTAAGAACCAAAATTAGACTTCAGCGTT